GATGACAAGGACCTTCCTCCAGAGCTGACAGAGAGAGAGAGAGAGTTTTCCTGGAACTGATGCCCTGAATTTGGACTTGTAGCCTACTGGACTGTAAGGGAATAAATTTCTCTTTGTTAAAACCACCCACCTGTGGTATTTCTGTTGAAGCAGCACTAGATGACTAAGACAGCCAGTGTCTTAGCTTCTTAGTGTTGCTATAACAGAAATACCACAGGTGGGTGGCTTTAACAAACAGAAATTTATTTTCTCACAGTTAGAAGGCTAGAAGTTCAAATTCAGAGCGCCAGTTCTAGGGGAAGTCTTTCTCTCTGTGTCCACTCTGGGGGAAGTCCTTGTCTTTTTTCAGATTCTGTTCCTCAATTCCTTCCTTGGAGATCTTTATGCAATCTGGCATATATCTTCCCCCATCTATGCTTTCTTGCTTCTGTGCCTAATCTGCTCCTTTTACATCTCAAAAGCCATTGGTTTAAGACACACTCTACCCTGATATGACCTCATTAACATAACAAAGAAAACCTGACTCCTAAATGGGATTAAATTCACAGGTATGGGGTCAGGATTTACAACTCATAATTTTTTGAGGACATAATTCAATCTATAACAGCCATTGTAATCCACACAGATTGCCTTCCTAGGACAGAGAATAGGAGAGAAAAGTATGGAACATGTGTCTAGAGGGCAAGCTTGTCATTTTCCTTCCTCATACAGTTCTTACAAGTGTTGGTGTCCAAGTTATATATGACTCAAAATGAGCTGAGTGGTGTACACTCACTTAGAGTCTCTGGAAAAGATTGTGCAAGATTGGAACCATCGATTGCTTGAATGCTTGGGGCAATTAGCTGTTAAAGCCATCTGAGCCTAGGCGATTTGGGGTACGGGGGGAAGGTTTTCAATTCCTGATTCAATTTCTTTAATTGTTTTAGAATTACTTTATTTCTTCATTTCTTCTTACAATCCAGGAAGTTATATTTCTTAGGAGTTCATCCATATCCTCTGAATTAAATTTATCGACGTAAAGTTCTTCTTATTTTCTTTCTAGTGTCTGCGGGCTTTGTGGTGATGGCCTCTTTATTATTCCCTGTGCTGGTGATTCGTGTCTTCTTTCATTTTTTTCACAGTCAGTCCCAGTGGGGCTGTAGCTTCATTTTGTTGTTGTCGTTGGCTGTCATCCAGTCAGCTCCAACTCACGGCAACCTTACGTGTGTTAGAGTAGAGCTGCACTCCATAGCAGATCACCAGGCCTGTCTTCCAAGGCACCCCCGGGTAGATTTGAACCAATCTTTTGGCTAGTGGTTGAGAGCTTAACCATTTTTGGCACCCAGGGGCTAGCTTCATTACAGGCTTGTCGAAGAACTGACTTTGGGCTTTAGTCATCCTTTCTAGTACATATTATTTTCTGTTTTACTAATTTTAGCTCTTTATTTCCTTCCTTTTACTTTCATTTGTTTTGCTAGAGAGGGAAGGTTTCCAAAAGTGGCAAGCAGAGGGCAGAGTATTCCAGGCAGGCACAAAGGTATAGGCAAAGTCTGGGAGGCAGGACTGAGCATGGGGTACGGGGAAAGCCCTGGCAAAGGCCCGCCAGGCTTTGGGGCAGAGTCCAGTGCCATTCCCTCCCACAACGCCCCACTGCAGCACTCCCCTCCCGAGCTCCCCTGTACACCCCCCTGTCAGGAGGGAGCCAGGCACAGGAGCAAACAGCCCACTTATTGGCTTTTCTCCCCACCCTTCTGCCCCATCAACAGCTCTAAAAAACCAATGTTCCCTACTGAAAATGAGAGGCTTGGCTAAATTAGTGATTTCCAAGCCATGTCCCTCTGGGCCTGAGGGGCAGAAAACCTGTTGCCGTCGGGTCATTTCCGACACATAGCTACCCTATAAAACAGAGTAGAACTACCCCATAGGGTTTCCAACGAGCAGCTAGTGGATTCGAACTGCCGACCTTTTGGTTAGCAGCCAAGTTCTTAACCTCTTCACCATCAGGGCTCCCTGAGAGGCAGAGGGGGCACCAATTTGTGAGGTAAGGAGTCCCTGTCACCGGAGGTTAGAATTGATCTGTCTCAGGTATTGGACTTCTACATAAAGGGGCAAAGGCCCTTCCAACCTCTCTACTCCCTATAGAAAGCAGCAGGAAACACCAGTGGAGCAGAGAGGCTGGAAACAGTCCAGGAGCTGCCAATTCTCACACCAAAGCTCACCTCCCCACCCTCCAACATGAAGGTGTGCTCAGCACTTATGTCCCTGCTCCTTGTAGGGGCCACCTTCAGCTCCAAGGTGCTTGCTCAGCCAGGTAAACTCATTCTGTCTTTCTCTCTTCCTCCCGCTCCCTCCCCGTTTGTTTTTCTCTCCTTCTAGGAAACCCCAAGCCAAAGTTCTGAGCCTATCAAAGCAGAAGGGGACCTCAGAGCTTCACTCTAATATCTAATTATAAAGACAGCAGCTTGTCTGCTAACTGAAAGGTCCAGGTTCAAACCCACCAGCCGGCTCTGTGGGAGAAAGATGTGGCAGTTTGCTTCTGTAAAGATTACAGCCTTGGAAACCCTATGGGGCAGTTCTACTCTGTCTTATAGGGTCGCTATGAGTTGGAATCTACTGGAAGGCAACGGGTTTGGTTTTGGTTTGGTATAAAGACAGTAAGCTGAACCTAGGTAGGGGCAAGAGGGGTCCTAAACCACATCCAGGTCATCACAGAGCCTGAATAAAATCTAAGTTGCCAACTCCGAACCCAGGGCCTTTTCTTTGACACCGGCTGATCTTTCTCAGCCCTGCAGATTTGGGGACCTATCCAGGATCTGTCAGATTGATCATGTGCACCTCCCCAGGTAGCAATGATATCTCCCCACTGTGCAGGTGAGAGAACCCAGTTGGAGAATTTGAGCCACAGGTCACACCCTGCCCCAGGACCTGAGGCAGGAACACTCAGTTGAGGGTGGATAGGATCTGCTTCTGCTTCTTCCTCTTTGCTTTGCCTTTCCCTAGTGACACTTTCCTGCTGTGTTCTGGCTGAGAAAAACCTAGCACATCCTAAAATGTTTTTTCTGTGACTTTATTTCTAGATACACTCAATGTCCCATCCACTTGCTGCTTCACATTTATCAGTAAGATCCCTCTGTAGAGGCTGAAGAGCTATTGAATCACCAACAGCCAGTGTCCCAAGGAAGCCATCATCTGGATAGAAAAAGCCACTCACCTCCAACCCCCACCTCACTCCACTCCACTCCCACAGCCTCCAATCCAAAGTCCTTCCCTGGAAGACAGTTTCCAACTCAGACTCACTTGGGATCTTGCCGAGTCCCTGGATGGTGCAGCAGTTAAGGGCTCGGCTACTAACTGAAAGACTGACAGTTTGAATCCCCCCGGGGACCCCAGAAGAAAGCCTGGTGATCTTCTGAGACGTCACAGCCATTGAAAACCCTACGGAGTGCAGTTCTACTCTGACACGCATGAGGTCGCCAGGAACTGGTTCCAGAGGAATGAGGATGTGGATAGGCCATGGCTATGGGGCCGGCCTGGGTTAATCCGAGTATCAGAACAATGACTCCTTCCTTGACATTGCTTCCCTGCCTTGCAATTCTCTAGTCCCATATTCAGCACTAGCCCCACTGCCTTTCCTTTCCTTGAAAATCTCCCACCCCTGCCCAAAAGATCTCCGTAAGTTCCTGCAACTGCCGTCTAACTGGTCTCCTTGCCCCCAGGCCCTCCCCCTCCAAGCAGTCCTCCACCCTGGAGTAATAGAGGCTTTCTGTGCACCCGACAGTCAGAGCAAAACCCCTCACTGGTTACCATGGTGAGAATCAGATTTCACAGAGAAGATGGGACTTGGCAGCATCAACCTTGGGGGAGGGGGCAGTGCAGTAACAGGAGAGACCCTTCTAGAGGAGGTGCAGGATGGAAAAAAGGACAGAGGGCCTAGGGGAGGATCTCCATATGGTCAGAGTTTGCGCTCCAGAATGGAAAAAGTTGGAGGCATTCAGAAAGGAAGGTGGAGGCCGAGTTGTAGAGGAGGTGGAACAATAGGGTGGGGAGTTTCGACTCGGTTCAAAAAGCAGGAGGCAGATATTACAGGCTTTTGAGCCATTGGGATGGGGAGTGCCAGGAAGAGGGACCTGGTGGCTGTGGGCAGGATGAAGCTGGAAGGGGAGACTGGGAGTGGTCCACTGCAAGGGCCAGGCAACAGGACATGGTGGCCCAAAGCAGGCAGTCGTGGGGTGAAAGGGGGAGGCAGTTTAAGGAAGAACAGGCCGGACTGTGACAGGCTGAATGTAAGGGAAGGAGGGAGAAGACCCGACACACATGAGACACTCTCCTCTCAAGCCACCAAGCTGCCCTTTAAAGAGGTACCAGTCCTGAGACCAGAATCCACTTCCCTCCCTTGCTCTTCTCCCTAGATTCACCTTCCACCTGCACACACATTCCAAATGGGAGCTTGTGGGTCCCTTTTAAAGGTTCAGAGCTTCCTCTTCCAAGGGTTTTCCCGCTTTTCCCAAGACCCCCTCGCTCCTCCCAATGAGTGTGCTGGCCTCTTGGTTAAGAGCTCAGCTGCTAACCAAAAGGTCGGCCGTTGGAATCCACCAGCCGCTCCTTGGAAAACCTGTGGGGTCGCTATGAGTCAGAGTCAACTCGACAGCAATGAGTTTTTTTTTTTTTTTTTAATACCTGGCACACAAACCAGCACCTTCCCAAGGAGAGAAGAACTCTGCTAACCAGCTCCGCGGGGCCCATCCTGCCAATTGGTGAGAGATGGTCTCTGTGCTGTGCTGCATCGGGCAGTTCACCTGGCAGATTGGGACACCAGAAAGTTCTCTGGCCTGGGAGACGGAAGCCCTGGGCTCTCACGCCAGATCTGCTATGCAATCTCAGGTCTGTCAGTGTGCCTCTCTAGCCCTCAGTCACCCCATCTACAAAATGAGCTTAGCACAGTTTTACAGGCAGATGACCTCAAAAGACCTCCACCAGGGCAGCTGTGTCTTTTGGATAACATTATACCCCCATCCCTGGAACCCTCTGGGCAAGCCAGGGAGGGAGAGGGTCAAGAACCCAAATGTGGACCCAGCTCAGGCTACTGCTCTACCTCCACGTCACAACCTGGGCGGGGGGGTTAGTCTTTGTTTCCTGAGAAATATGCTCTAAAACCTTGGTACTCCCTCAATGACTGAAGTGTTTTGTTATCTTATAAGGGCTCCACTCCACACCTAACTGACAGGTTATGCTAATGAGGTGACACAGGTAGAGGCTGGCCAGGCCAGAAAGACCTTCTGATATCAGGTGGCCTCAGGGGAGGTAGGCTGATCAATCAATCCTGCCCATGTAATGAGGTCCCAATAAACGATCTGGACAGAGAAGCTCCTTGGGCTTCCCGGTTGATAAGACACTTGTGTACATGGGAGGGTAGCATGTTCTTTGGGACACAGAAGCACCACATTGGGGACCTTCCCAAACCTAGCTCTATGAGTCTCTTCGTTTGTATCCTTTTTGCTGTAATAAAACTATTCATAAGTATACCACTCTCCTGAGTTCTATGAGTTGTTCTAGCAAATTTAGGAAATTATTGACTCTGAGGGAGTAGCAAGATCCAGCAGGTCAAAAGTGAGGGAGAGCCTGGGGACCTCCAAGCTTGCAGCTAGTGTCCGAGGTCTTGGGCAGACTTGGCAGTCTAGGGGACTGTGCCCTTTAACTGGTGAGGTCTGACCTAGCTCTGGTGGTTAGGGTCTGAGAAAGAAGCACTGCATCTGCAGTTGTTGCCAGAACGGAACTGAATTGAGTACAATTAGAGTAGAATTGCATCGGATTGAACTGACTTCATTACAGGGCCTCTAGCCAAAGGTCACCCCCAGCCCCAGGACAAAGACTGTCATCTGAGAGGCAGAGAGTCATTTATTGGCCCCGATTGACAAGAGTCTGTTCCCCTTAGACCAGGTCCAACATGTCTCCCTCCTCTTTCCCCACCCTCCAGCCCCTGGCCCCAGCTTCATTACAAGGCCTCTAGCCAAAGCTCACCCCCAGCCCCAGGACAAAGACTGTCATCTGAGAGGCAGAGAGTCATTTATTGGCTCCAATTGACAAGAGTCAGTTCCCCTTACACCAGGTCCAACATGTCTCCCTCCTCTTTCCCCACCCTCCAGCCCCTGGCCCCAGCTCCTCAATGCCAGTCAAGTTTGCACCCTGGTGGAGTCCGAAAGGCACAGAGTAGCTGGAGTTGAGGATTCAAAAATGCTAAAGTGTAAAGTGCAACAACATAGCTTATCAGAACCTGAGCAGACCCTCCGTGACCCAGCAAAGTTGGAACAGAAGGGTGCTGCAGGGTTGGGAGTTGCGGGGACAAATGAAATAAAGTGGTCTCCGTAGCCCAGGATGGAAAGGCATCTGCTCATACTGTCTTTGGCAGGCAGGGTTTCATCTTACTGAAATTATCCTGGACCCATCTGACTGTCTTCAAGACACAGCTCTCTCTGCCCTTCTTCAGCTTCAATCTGTGAGAAAAGAACAAAGGAGAGGTTGGAATCACCTTCTGGGTACTATGCATAAATCCAATCTCCACTACTTTTCCTTGTGTACCCCTAAGTTTCTTTCTCTGGGCCTCATTGTTCTCCTCTATAAAAGAAAGTCAGTGCATAAGAGCTGTGGCTTGCACACAGAGTGGAAGACCCAAAGCACTTGGGGGAGTTTATCAAACTACGTTTCCTGGACCGCTCCCTTGGAGATTACAATTCAGTGTGTCCGGTGGAGCTGAAGACACTGCAGACATTTTGATGATTAGCTAGGATGGAAAATTCCTGTCCTAGAACATCTCAGAGGACCTCCTACTCCAAAGTTTAATGTTTCTGTGTCCATTCAAGACCCTCAGTTATTGCTCTGGACTCATAATAATGTGTGTGTGTTTCATCTGCCCATGGAGTCCCTGGAGAGTAGCATCCTTTGGGACATGCAAACAGTTAATGTGCTCAGCTGTTAACTGAAAGGTTGGAAGTTCAAATCCACCCAGAGGTGCCTTGGAAGAAAGGCCTGGTGATCTACTTCCAAAAAATCAGCTGTTGAGAACCCTGTGGAGCACAGTTCTACTCTCACACGCATGAGGTTGCCGTGAGTCAGAGTTGACTTGACAGAACCAGTGATGGTGCTGTGGCCGACCTCCTAAACTTGGTGATTGTCCAATCCAGAGCCCAGTTCTGCTCCTTACCGTCAGGTTGGCCATAGACAAACCTCTCTACCTCCCTGAACGTCAGTTTGCATGATAACAAAAATATTTCCCCAAGTGAGATAGGCAAGATAATATACATGACAGTGCCCTGTAAAGGCTAAGTGGTATAGGTCAGCTACCTCAGTTAAGCTTCATAATGACTCTGTGAAGCAGGTATCATTTTTAATGCACTTCACAGATAAGAGACTCAGAGGAGTACACAGATAATGAGGTGCGAGGTCACCCAGCCTATAGGCTGGCAAATCAGGAGGCAGGAACTCATCATGACCCCTCGGTCTTTCCACTACACAGCAATGCTTCATGCTTTTGTTATTCAATTCCTTCCTCTGGGCATATAATACTGGGGTATAATACTTGGTGCTTTGTTGCTCCAAGAAACACACATTAACTGCAGGATCCCAGGCTCATCCTTCCTTGCTGTCCCCCTAGTGCCCAAACTCGGCTCGGCATCCAGTTTTGGGGGCTGGGTTTAGAAACCTTATTCTGGTGGAACATCGCCATCTAGCGTCTGCTATTCTAATTCCAAGTCTGTCAGAGATGGAGTCAGGGATTGAACATGGACTCACATAAAGGCATCGTAGGGGCAGGTGGAGCTGGTGTTTTTATAACACTGGATAGTCTTCAGGGCAATCCTTTTGTCCGCAAACTGGTAGCAGCAGTTGGAGGATGAGACATGCACTAGAAGAGAAGCACAGAAGATGGTTGGGACACATTTTTCAGCCCGGACCCAGTTCATCTCACCTGCAGGATGATTTATAAAGAGAAAGAGCCCCTCCTGGGACAGGCTAAAGCTTTGGGAGCACATTCAGAGGGCCCTGGAGTAGCTCTGACTCATCGGCCACCAGGTTCTGCGGTTAGGTGAAGAGTCAGTCGGGAGACTCAGCTTCAGATTCCACCTCCCCACAAACTAGCTGTATGGCCTTGATCAAGATGAGCCCTCACTCTGGGCCTCAGAGTTCCCATCTATAAAACGGGACTTTCTAGACTGGTTTCTAAAGGCTCTTCCCATTCTGGAATCCCACCATGAGTGTGTGATTCTGCCCCAGTATTCCAGTCCAGGGCTCTGGACCCCACCCCTGGGGGCATAGTGGGTCTGATGCATGCAAGACTACTGCAGCCCACAGCCCACAGCCCACAGATCTGGGGCTGGATTAGGAACTGGGCAAGGGGTTCAAACTGACAAAATGACAAGGGAAGAGCCCCCAGGAACTAACAAACCCTCCACCCCTTCTCTAGAATTCTCTCCTCCCCTGGTCCTCAGCTCTTTCCTACGGTAGTATCCCTACTCTGCCAGTTGGTACCCTGCCCTCCCATAGCCTACCCCCAAGAGACTCACGTTCCAATCCTGACTCTTTCCTCCCAGTTTTACTGTTTACAAAGCCCTTCCATATCTGCTGTGAGGTCAGTATTCTTGTAATAGCCTCGTAAGGTGGGCATTATCAACCCCATTTTACAGATGGCAAAACCAGACTTTGAGAAGCAAAGTGACTTGCCCAACTGGTAGAGCCCCAGGACCTGACTTCAGACCCTGCACGTTATCTGTCCTGTTTCTCTGTGCCTCAGGCCCCCCAGCTTGGCCTAAATGATCTCACAGCCCTGTCCCTCCCCACCTCATTGGTCTGCAGGGTCTGAATTAGCTCAAAAACCAAACCTGTTTCCGTCGAGTCAATTCTAACTTGTGGCAACCCCATGTGTTACAGAATAGAACTGCTCTATAGGATTTTGTTTGGTGTAATACTTACAGAAGCAGATCACCATGCCTTTCTTCTGTGGTGCTGCTGGGTAGGTTTGAACCACCAATGTTTCTCTTAATCGAGCCACCCAGGATTAGCTCAGAGCCTCCTTCATCTGAAGCTAGACACTCAGCTCTCTGCATTTGCCCCAGACTCATCATTCTCCTACTAGCCTCCTGCTCCCATCCCATACAAATTCCTCCTCTTCTGGTGGAACTCTTCCCAGAGGAGGGGAAATGGAATCAATGAGCTCAGGGTGACCTTGTCCCCAACCCCAAAGCATCTGCCTAGGTTTCTGCCCTCCCCAGGGAGAAGCCAAGCACTCAGCCATACTTACTGCTCCTGCTGTCTACATCTCGTGTCCACATCCCAGCCAATAGCAGATACACCAGGGCCACGGTGATGAGCTTCATTTCAGGCAGTCTGGTTCAGGCCTTCTTGGAGCAGTTTCAAAAGTCAGGTGCAGCTAAGAGCTCTCTCCTGCCCATCCTGCTTGCCTGGAGCTTTTATTAGAAGGTCAAGAAGGTTGTGGGTGGGATTTCCTAGGCCATAGAGAAGAGGTGGGGAAGTCACAGGGAGAAGGGGTGGTGACCAAATGGAAAGCTCCTTTCCCCACCTCTCCTAGGTGGTGTGTCTGAGGTGTGGGGAAACTTCCTGCGTAAGGGAGCAGATAAGGATCTTGAGAAAGTGAGTGGGAGCTTCCTGGCTGAGTGGGAAGTGGAGAAAGGTGAGTGAGAGGAAGTGGCTGTTCCTCTGTGGCTTCTCTAACCTGACGTCTTTCCATGCAGGGAACACGGCAGCATGAAACAGGTGCTGGAGCTGGACTGAGATACACCGGCTTTTGAATTCAGGATCTGAAAACTATCGATTGCGGAAACTCGCCCAAGTCACAGATCCAAAGTGCAAATAGTAGCACTTGTCTCAGGGCTTGCAATAAGAATTAAATAAGATCCTTCATGTCAAGTGCCTGGCACCTGTTGCATTTTTTTCAATCACTCAACACTTTCCAACAGCTTACTGTCTTCTAGGTCCTTGGCTAGCCCCAGGCAAAGCAGTTATTAATGGGATGTGGTCTCTGGCCACCAGTGGCTCCTGTTAGACTCACAGATAAACAAGTCAAGGCCTCTCAGTGCAAGGACAGCAATAGATGTGCCACATGGAGGGACACAGAGGCATCAGAGAGGTCCTCCCTGGAAAATGTCCTTTAAGCAGAGTCTCCTGTGTGCTGAAGTGGGAGGGGGCATTCTAAGTAGAGGAAGGGGCCTGTGTAGAGAGGATGAGGCAGAAAGGTACCCACTTTGCTCAGAGTTATCTGGTAAAACTGGGTATAGGGTGTAAGGAGAGTGACAGGTGTGAAGAAATGGCCGGTGAGGGATTCAGCTCTGCAGGGACAGAGTGGCCAGGACAGGAAGACATTGCACGCAGAGCTTGGAATAAGTAGCACGTGGTAGGTGCTCAAGGAAAAGCAGCAGAGTCAAATGTGGGTATTAAAATTATGAGGTCCACATGCATTGCATAGTCATCAAGGGTTGGCTAGTGTCTTAGTTATCTGTTGTAGTTGTTGTTGTTAGGTGCCATCGAGTTGGTTCTGACTCATAGCCACCCTACGTACAACAGAAGGAAACACTGCCCGGTCAGGTGCCATCCTCACAGTCATTGTTATACTTGAGCCCATTGTTGCAGTCACTGTGGCAATCCATCTCATTAAGGGTCTTTGTCTTTTTCGATGATACTCTACTTTCCCAAGCATGATGTCCTTCTCCAGGGACTGATTCATCCTGATAACTTGTCCAAAGTATGTGAGACCTAGCCTCACCATCTTTGCTTCTAAGGAGCATTCTGGTTGTACTTCTTGCAAAACAGATTTGTTTGTTTTTTGACAGTCCATGGTATATTCAATATTCCTCGCCAACACCACAATTCAAAGGTGTCAATTCTTCTTTGGTCTTCCTTATTCATCAACCAGCTTTCATTTGCATATAAGGCGATTGAAAACACCATGGCTTGGGTCATACTACAAGTGGATGGCTTTAACAAAGAGGAATTTATTCTCTCACAGTTTAGGAGGCTAGGAGTCCAAATTCAAGGTGCCAGCTCCAGGGGAGGGATTTATCTCTCTATTGGCTCTGGAGGAAGGTCCTTGTCATCAATCTTCCCCTGGCTTAGAGCTTCTCAGGGCAGGGACCCCGAGTCCAAAGGACACGCTATTCTCCCGGCTCTTGTGTCTTGCTGGTATGAGATCCCCATCTCTCTCCTTGCTTCTCTCTTTTATATCTCAAAAGAGACTGGCTTAAAACACAACCTAATCTTGTAGATTGAGTCCTGCCTCGTTAACATAACTGCCAATAATCCCACCTCATTAATATCATAGAGGTAGGATTTACAACACATAGGAAAATCACATCAGGTGACAAAATGGTGGGGATCACACAATACTGGTAATCACGGACTATCCAAGTAGACATACTTTTTTGGGGGGACACAATTCAATCCATAATAGCTAGGCTGATCAACTTTGCTTGTGCTACTCTCTAGCTCAAAAACCCTCAGTGGCTCCTCATTGTCAAATGAATGAAGTACAAACTGCTCACCTTGACCTTCATGGCTCTTCATGTTAGTTCTCTGTGGATCACTGTACACCCTCCGCACATTCAGATATTTACAATTCCCTGAACATGCCACATGTTTTCTTATCTCCAGGATTTTTCTCCACCTGTGTTATGGATTGAATTGTGTTCCCTAAAATATGTGTTGCAGTCCTGATCTAATACCAAAGAGTAAACAAAAGAGAAAGTTGGGCCACCATTCAGGTAGGCCAGGAAAATGGAACCATTGCACAAGTTGAAGGAGTGGGATTGCAATGCCCATTGGCCAGGAGAATAAGGCCGCCTGGGGCTGAGGGGCTATGGTCACCATTCAGGTGGACCAGGAGAATGGGACCTCCCAAAGCCAAAGAATTGGGGTTGCCATCTCAGTGGACCTGGAAGCTGGAGATGACAGCTAAGCTATGGGGTCTCTGTGCAGAATCCAGACAGCAAAGCCAATGCCCAGAGTCTGGAAGGCAAAGCCATTGCCCAGATGGTCCCAGAGAACAGAGGGCTATTTTCAACCCTTGACAGCTAGCTGCTCTGCTCAGTTTTAGACTTGCTTGGTACCCATGATCCCTCTGTCCCTCCAATTTCTCCCATTGGAAATGGGAGTGTCTAACCTGTGTCTACTCCATCATTGTATTTTGGAAGCAGATCACTTGCATTCTAGATTCCACAGATGGAAAGGAACACACCCAGGAAGCAGACAACCGGTAATCTAGATTTCTCAGATAGAAAGGAACACACTCAGGGTCTCATCCACACTTGGTTTATATGGTTTAAAAGATAGGTTTTGAACTTTGAGTTGATGCTAGAATGAGATAAGACTTTGGGGGTAATCTCGCTTCTAAGGAGCATTCTGGTTGTACTTTTTCCAAGACAAATTTGTTTGTTCTTCTGGCAGTCCAAGGGATAATTAATATTCTTCTCCAATACCACAATTTAAACACTTCAATTCTTCTTCAATCTTCCTTACTTATTGTCCAGCTTTCACATGTATATGAGGCAACTGAAAATACCGTGGCTTAGGTCAGGCACACGTTAGTCTTCAAGGTGACATCTTTGCTTTTCAACACTTTAAAGAGATCTTTTGCAGCAGATTTGCCCAATGCAATACGGCATTTGATTTCTTGACTTCTGCTTCCATGGGAGTTGATTGTGGATCCAAGTAAAGTAAAATCTTTGACAACTTCAATATTTTCTCCATTTATCATGATGTTGCTTATTGGTCCAATTGTGAGGGTTTTAGTTTTCTTTATGTTGAGGTGTAATTCATACTGAAGGCTGTAGCTTTTGATCTTCATTAGTATGTGCTTCAAGTCCTCTTCACTTTCAGCAAGCACGGTTGTGTCATCTGCATATGGCAGGTTGTTAATCTTCCTCCAATTGTGATGTGTGTTCTTCTTCATATAGTCCAGCTTCTCAGACTATTTGCTCAGCATACAGATTGAGTAAATATGGTGTTACAGATTGAATTATGTCCCTCAAAAACGTGTGCAACTTGGCTAGGCCATGATCCCCAGTCTTGTGTGATTGTCCACCATTTCGTCATCCGATGTGATTTTCCTATGTGTTGCAAATCCTACCTCTCTGATGTTAATGAGGCGGGACTCAATCTACAAGATTAGGTTGTGTTTTGAGTCAATCTCTTTTGAGATATAAAAGAGAGACGCGAACAGAGAGACAGGGGACCTCTTTACTGCCAAGTAAGAAGAGTAAGGAGCATGTGCGTCCTTTGGACCTGGGTTCCCTGCACTGAGAAGCCCCTAGACCAGGGGAAGATTGATGACAAGGATCTTCCCCAGAGCCGACAGAGAGAGAAAGCCTTACCCTGGAACTGGCACCCTGAATTCAAACTTCTATCCTCCTAAACTGTGAGAGAATAAATTCCTCTTTGTTAAAGCAGTCTACTTGTGGTATTTCTGTTATAGAAGCACTAGATAACTAAGACATATGTGAAAGGATACAACCTGATATATACTTTTCCTGGTTTTAAACCATGCAGTATCCTCTTGTTCTGTTTGAATGACTGCCTCTTGGTCTATGTATATAAGTTCTTGCATATTAATATCTTCTTATTCCTTTACTGTCATTTCAGTGAGGTCTGTGAACGTGTGTGAAAAGTGACAAAAGGGTGTAGTCAACCTGTCAAATTAACTGTAGGTCTTTTCAACTCACTTGAGACATGGAGAAGGGTTGACGTGGTCACCCAGGAAATTCTTTGCACTCCCCCTCCTCCTGTGGAAGCTTCCCAGCCCACTCAAGAAGGGAATGGGGCTTCCCCTCCAACAACGCACTTCTCCTCCTCCTCATTACTGTGGCTGCAGCAAGCCCAGCACAGGAAAAGAGGGAACAGTGAGAGTTAGTCATGCCTTCCCTTTCCCACACCCTCCACCCCTGGCCAGCACTGGCTGAAGGCTCTGACCACACAGCAACTTAATTCCCCTCTGAGCATCTCCTCCACTCTGAGTTGGGTGTAAAAGGCAGGGACTTTTTTATTCCTCATCTTCTCTAGTCCCTAGGCAAGGCTAGAGCCAAGTAAGAACTCAAAACAGTATTTATGGTATTGAATAGCTGCGAGCCAATGTTGTTCAATGGCCTGATGTGCAAGATACGCTCTCTCAGAATAAGCACTGTACCAGCCGCTCATATGAATTTCTTAGAATTTGATCAGGAAGTGTCTGTAGAACAGGTTGTCTTATTAGTCATCTTGTATGAAATAGGTATCTGTGTACTGAAGATAGGTAGAAACCAGACAGAACTCAGCCAGGGTGGGTTCATTTTAGGCTCATCCACTCCAATTGCACCCCAGCCCCCTTGCTTTA